TCTGAGGTATCATTTTGAAATTTTGCAAGTATTTTAATCGATTTCCCAGAAGCGACATATCAAGTTACTCAAAAAATTTTGGTTTTTTACATTATTTTCATGTTTGTCCAGAAATTCCCTTCTTGGAGTTTGGTACCTGCTACAATAGAATATATTATTCGTATGTAATAAGATAAACATAAAAACACATTAAAAAGTAAGAAAATTCTTAAAATTGTTTTGAGTAACTTAGTAAGAGTAGGTAGTAGTACTTTGAACAAAAATTTGCACATAGTTTATAGCTAAATAAGTGCCTATATAGCGACTTTAAAATACTTTCATTGTAGAGGTTCGTCTCAAAATTATGAGGCTCATAAAAGTTTAATCTGTTAACAGGACACTTGCTATTTGAATAGCCATATGGAAATCGACCCCTACCATAGTGTCAACCAGATAAAAATAACACTATATCAAATAAAATAAGTTTGTGAACATGAACGGCAATCCCAATGGAAATGTTCAAGATTATTTTTAATTAAAATTAAAAAATATTATAATTTCATTAAATTTCACCGGTGTGTATAAATATATCCTATGTACAATAATCAACACTTTTTTTTTGGTCCCGGTTACCTGGTAGCTGCGGTCAAACAGGCAAGTTGATGTTAACAATTGCACTTTTTTGTCAACCAATCCGGACTATTCTTAAAATAAATGTAATTTATTTATCAATAATGTATAATAAGGTTGCTTCAAAAAAATTGGTCATAGATGATAGGTCATACAGTCCTTTAAATTAAAAAATTCGGAGCCAGCGAAGTCCAAGACAAAGCAAGACTATACGTACTTACTTAACGTCAGAGAAGAGGATACAATGCTAGGATATAATTAACTAACTACAGAGCAGTGTTTTGGAGTAGATAAGATGATTTTTTAATAAATTGTAATAAATTAGCCTTTGAAAAACTTGGCATTGATTAAAGTAGTAATTTTTTAACATATATTTGATATCTGGCGTCATTAACTCTATTCGTAATCGTAGAACTAGGCATAGATCAAGTCCCAATTTTGATGCGAATCCGGTACAGATCATTGCTATTCCGTTTTTTACTTAGCGAAGTCGCAAGCCAATTTCAGAGTTTTTAATTTTATGCATGCTACTAAGTAAAATTATCAAATCATCTGTGTATGCTGATTTTATTAAAATTTTAGTTCCTGATGCTGTTTGGTAAGCGTAAAAATCCATTTTCGTATTCGCCTTTTCATGAGAACATTCGTAATCATTTACTTTATTTTTTATTACGCGATTTTGTTAAGTTTGATAAGAATAGCAATGTTCTTCCAAATATTTTTTTGTTATTTTTTTTGAAACGATAATTTTTTAGACTTTAAAAAATCTGCAAGTTGAGTTGCGTTTGTTGAGGGCCTGAAATTTTAAATGGGATTGCCGCCTACCCTGATGTTCTGAGTCTTTGATTGAGGGTCTAAGGAATGCAATTTTGTCGAAAGTATGAGGCATTGTTGATCCGATCGGGTTCAGGGAATAAAATTCATCGATAATTTCTACATTTTATATTTTTTGATTCAACCATTTCCACCTGATATTTCAATGTTTTAACCAAAGCTCTCCGTTTTTAAACATTTCTCTAGTACATGCAAAACGAGCAGGCGGCATTGTTGCTAGCTGAAACGTCAAACAATTTTCAATATTGTATACTTTTTTAAAACAGTGTTTATTTTGTAAGAAGCGGAGTGACAACCTTCAAACTGAGTTGAATTTTGGGTTAACTCAACGTCAGCATATTTAAAACGTCTTAGTCAGCGAAATAATTTTAAATAACAATGTTTTTGATATTTTTCATTAAGTCCTTTTTTTTTACACAAAAACATTTTTTCTTCGTCATTTTTAATTTTGGAAACAACGTATTGACAAACAGAAAGTATATTTCAAAACATTACTTTTATTTTAATACTAGTCCGGATTGGTTGACAAAAGAGTGCACTTATTAACCATCAACTTACCTGTTTGTCCGCAGCTACCAGGAAATAGGGACCAAAAAAAGGTAATCTACTTAGTTAGACTTAGTTCAGGTTTCACTAACAGCTGAACAAATAGATGGCAAATTAGACAAGCTGAGATACAATAATAATTACTTCAAATAAATATCAATATAATCTTTACATTATTTGGAAATTTGTTGATAATATTTAATTAATATAATTAATTAATTAATTAATTAATATAATATGTACAGTAAAAAAAAATCAAACCTTACCTTTACAGCATGATATTGGAATTAATAACTTTGAAATGCTATGGAATAACATCACAGGAAATTATCTTTAAAGTTATGACATAAAATCATTTTAATTTTAATGTAAATTACAAAAACACAAAATCCGTCGTTAACAAAGTGTGTTTAAATAAACCGCCAGTATTTTTTTTTATTAATAAGTTCCCAGTAGGCCACCTTGGCAATAATTTCCACATACAAATTTTTGATTTTATAGTATATATAAAAATAATCTGAACTAATATTGTTTACTTTTATCGCCTTTAATCTACCTTTAGGCCGTTTAATTATCAGTTACATAAAAATTAAGCTTTAAGAAATACGAGTAGTACTTCGAAAAACCCCACAATTACCGATTGTGTGTGTCGTAGTTCTTTTTTTAAATGAAAAAAATCTATGGATAAACAATACGACTCAATCGTCCGATACAATTCAATTCCTCTCGACCTTCCAATCCAAACAAAGAAAATATCATTTATAGATTTCCAACTAATTCTATGTTTAAAACGATTTCATCACTCGCCGATCAATCCATCCGTTTGCGTAACAAAATTTCGTTGGTGCTTTGATTACGGATAGGTAAACGCGGATGCCAGAAATACCGTTTTTAATAAATTTGTTTTGCTACCAAAACTCAAATTCGTTTTTAATAAGTAACCGGGACACATAAACGTTGTAGCGTACTTCATCTATTAGATATTAGCTATATTATTTGGTTTTTGCAACAAATAAGGACGCGGTTATCGTTGCACTTTACGATAAGTAATTTCGCACGGGTGCGACGACGCCAACAGTTTTGGGCGACACAAAAACCACCGACGCTTTTCCGATGCGTTGCCGACGCGAACTGGAGAAAAGTACACATCAAAAGAACATAACATGCAAGACCAACAAACGAGAAAGGGATAAAGGGATTCGTAAATCTGAGGATTTTGAGGCGCCACTATTGCAAAAAGTGCCCAATCGGACAAAAGAGGTGCTGAAATGCATATGAGTGTCTACTTTTATCTGTGTATAAATGCGTAAAAAATATAATATTACAGAAGACAGATTTTTTTTGTTTTCATCACGACATCGAAAACTGCTTCTTGATGCCACCTAAAAAAATTTTAAAGCCAGCTGCGATTTTTAATACAATAATAATAAAATAATTTTAAAAGTAACAATTTTAGCAAATGTCGCTTTTTGCTCGACCTCATAGTGCCGCTCGGAGTTATGTCAAAACAATACATTTTTTATCAAAATCTTCAAAACCAAAATATAAATAAAAAATATACAAAGTGGGTTTTTGTCTACATGACATATATATGGCGGGGAAGGTTTTTGGCCAACAAGTTACCAGTTTCAGATTCTGATTAATAATAAGAATCTAAGTTATCTGAAGAATCTTATAAAAAAACATGAGAATTTATTAAGCAACTATTGATTAATAAGAAACGACCTAAGTCGTAAAATTGACAACAACCCTGCAGAGATATCCACACCTGTTCTAGATGTAAGATTATGTAGCTTTTCCCCAAAAAACTCTACATCTTTAAACAGGATAGTTCGAATCGCGTTATAAAGCAGTACGTGAGATAGAGTTTCATTTTAGTGGAGACGCGCACCCATTAATACCTAAAATAAACACTTTAAAGTCTACTTTTATGTTTAAGTAAACACTCCTTTCTAAATTTGTTAAAAAGTTCGCGTGTTTCTCTAAGAATAACAGGAACTACACATTCGCTTAGTTTTGTCAACCTAGGTTGTATATTATTTTAAAGAATGGAACAGAACTTCTTATTTTAAATAATAATAATGATTTTTTAAGTACCAGTACTTATTAAGGTTATTATTATTAGTGTTTATTCTCAGTATTTTAAGGAATTAAAGAAACATCCGAATTACCGGTAGGTAGTAGGCGAGACAGTTCTAACATATTTTTAGAATGCGGCTCGTTTATTCAGCACTTGGTCCGATTGTGTCAAATGAAACTCGTGACTAAAATGATGTTTATCAAACTCGTTGGTGCATTCGGTCCTCCCAGCTTTTGTAGCAAAAAATTAAAAGAAATAGAAAATCACATATTTTTACAATTGTTTATAATTCAATAACTTTGTAAAGGATTGTTTATTCCAAATATATTAAATAATTAAGAATATGGGAGCTCAGTTATTGACTTGAATTAATCTACATGATTATTAACTATAATATTTAAATGGTTTCCCCAACTAATTGTTTCCTTACTCGAAACCCAGAGTTATTTGATATCGGCAACCTTATTCTTTAGCCTATGTTTCATTGCTATCGTTACGGTTTTAGCGCTATGATTTTAAATTAAACGTGATTACGTCCTCGTCGCCAATCAAATCCCTTCTGTATTAATATAAATTAATCAAATCAAAATCATACAAAAACGTATCAGATATACCAGGTGAAAATCGGTCCGTGCTGCTGAAAATTGTGGGATTATTTGATTTGTTGTATGCAATTCGCTTGTGTTGCTTTGAAGGTTCCAAATCATTTGTTGCAAAATGAGTATTACCAAAATTAGTCTCAGAATTCGTAGAAATGCCACCCAAAGACAAGCGTTCTAAGGCAGTCTAAATACACATACTCCACAATTACGATATTCGCAATTACGGTAAGTCTAGATACGTTGCTGAGTTAACGAGTCGCAATTAGCTAAATATTGATAAAAAGGTATTTATAAAAAATATGTTATCACTTCTTTGAAGCAACGTTTTTCATGTGCTTTTCATTAGTGTAAAAACTCGACGCGATATGTGTTTCATTTTCAATCCAACTTTTTGGCTAATTGTGGTGCTCGCGGCGCTCTGCGTCCATTTCTACAAGATTTACACTCACGTGAATTATATACCCGCCCCTCCATATTTGCCGCTACTAGGTCACTATTTCGACTACGCTGATGAAACAAGTAAGGAAGAAAAAATGATTTTTTTTGGCGAATACTTTCATAACATTTTTAGCAAGTCAATTTTTTTCGCCGATCTGTAGAGTAGCAAGTGGTGCTAAATATGTTTTAATTTAATTTGACACAACTAACCTTATCCAGAAAACTATCCAGGGCCCCAACAATAATAAATTTCACTAGGTACATAGATGCATTTGTTAACTTCTTTTCATTGTCACTGCAGTCGTCTTCAGGTTAATACTGTCGACTGGATATGCTAAAACCTTGTGAAAGTTAATAAAGACAATGAAAGTCCACAATATCTCGTTTTATCGACATCTATGATTGACTATGATCTTCAAACAAAACGCGCTTTTAAGGCATACGGATTTGGGATACATTAATGTTTAAAAATATTCTATATGTTTTATAAACCCAAAAGAAAATCTTTTTGAAATCTCATAGTCGTTTAAGCTCTCTTGTAATATTATAGAATCACATATTTAGTTCGTTTCAGAAATACTGGATAGAGTGAGTTCGCATGTTTATAAGTATGGAGGCATTATTAGACAAACGGTGGGTCCGGTAAAACCGAGTTTGCAAACGGCGAATAAAGATTTCATGCAATTTCTTTCCCAGAACGGGAGATATACCATTAAAGCTACGTTTTACCGTTTCCTCCACCCGTGGCTTGGCGAAGGATTACTCACAAGCGAAGGTAAACGATAAAATGCTGAAGTTGCATTTTGATTTTGGGCAAATATGTTTTTTGTCGACATGCGGATATTCTGGGCTACACCCGTATACCTAATTAAATACCTATAATAAAGTTTTTAAATAGTGTCCCGAAGACCAGTTATCTAACTATTGTATTGTAAGGTTTGTATAAATTTTGAATTAGATTAAATGCTTCAAAGAGACTGGAACTAGCTTTTCTATAGTTGAGACAACTAGTTTTTTTTTGTATATAACTTATTTAACTTAAAATGTGAAAACTAACTGATAAATTGGTGCTTCACCTACATCGAAAACTACTGCTCCTTCTTTTTAGTCCTCCGTAGTTATGCTTTTGAATGAATTTTGAAATATTTGTGGTCCACGATTTTGTGACGTCAGATATTATTACGATCCACGGCGCCGATATCCACAGTATCACTGAGGAAAAATTAATCAAATCTCCAAAACCTGACAACACACTCTGATTTATGCGGGTTATAGTGGATGTTATGAATAGCACTGCAATTTTTTGAAACGCGATATAGTTAAGGCTATTTTCCCACTTATAATAGTTAATGGATATTCGATAATAGATTTAATGTGTTTTTCTACTTCCGTCTGTAATAGTATATTATGCAACAAGTGCGATAAACGGCATTTGACTCACGAGCTTATTTGACACGAGCGGAGAAGTGTTTAATAAACGAGTGAGTTAAAAAGTTTACCGAACGTGTTGCATACTATACTTTTTCTACGACCGTTAGTTTTTGGGTACATTTTCGCAAAACAACACGAATACATTCACTGACATGACGGTCAGAATTGACAAACGTCAAAATTCAAAGCGTGGAAAATATCCCCGAAAACATCCGATTGCTCCCAAACCCGTGCGGTAAAATCCCGGAAATGTCCGAAGGGGCTCGAATTCATGGGAAACGAAACCTACGTGGTAAAATGACACTTCCCGCACGCTAGATCGGTGCGTAATTAAGTATTTTACAGACGGGAGTAGAAAAAATACCTAATTATCCATCGATCTAGCGTGCGGGAAGCGTCACTTTGCCACGTCAGTTTCGTTTCCCGTTTCGGAGATATTTCCCACGCGTTGAGTTTTGACGTTTGTCAATTTTGACGGTTATGCCTGTGAATGTATTCGTGTTGTTTTCAGTGTACCGAAAAACTAACATTTTCGGGATTTTACCGCACGGGTTTGGGAGCAATCGGATGTTTTCGGAGATATTTTCCACGCTTTAAATTTTGACGTTTGTCAATTCTGACAGTCATGTCAGTGAATGTATTCGTGTTGTTTTGCTAAAATATACCCAAAAACTAACGGTCGTAGAAAAAGTATAGTATGCAACACGTTCGGGAAACTTTTTGAGTCACCCGTTTGTTAAACACTCGCTCCGCTGCGCTTCGATCGTGTCAAATAAACTCGTGAGTCAAATGCCCTTTACTGCACTTGTTGCATAATATACTATTAATCAGTGGTTCCCAGTCTATTTTTCTCATAGAACACTTTCCAAAATGGAATTAAATGCATTTTCCTCATGCCATGTCAAGTCTCCCGTGGACTCCTGGAGCTCCAGTTTGACCGTTTTGGGAACGAAGCATAAAAAAGGATGTTGTGTTTTCTGTTTTTTTTTTTTTCATTTCACAACGATTAAAAAGTTCAACTGATTTGTTCCGAATCATATTTTTCACTTTTCAGAGGTTAAAATGTTGAAAATGTCGGGTTTGCTAATTTTGCCTTAGCAACTTTGGATTGTTTTAACATTTTTAATTTACCCGCTGATGTAATATCGATTAGAAATTATTATGTCCACACGTAGCTTGTTGGAAAGACTAAGAAGATATTCGATCATAACAAAGCACTAACTTAAGAGAGAACAATCTAATTGAAAAAAGATATTTTTCTCGTTTTCTTCATTGAATCAATGATTTTCGGCAGAAGCGGATCCAAGTTATAACAATAACTTGGATCCGCTTCCGATTATACAAAGAAAACATTGAGAGGGCCTTCAACAAATCTCGAGATAAATTTTGGAGAAGGCGCCAGAGATCCTGCAATCTATTAAGTGAATAATTAATTTTAAACTATTTAATAAAACTAGGCGAAAAATGGAAAACAAGGAGAAGGGCTTTAACGCCTTGTTTCATGCAGACGTCCGTACTCAAGTCATTTCTAGACACGTTCGAAGAAAAATCAGATACTCTCGTGAAGATTTTCGAAGCTCATTTGAACGAGGAGATCAGTTTGGTCCCGTTTGTGAAGCGTTTCACTTTAGACGTTATTTGCGGTATTTATTTGCAGCAATTAATAGAATTCCTTTAAAACGTCTCTTTGCAGCAACTGCTATGGGCGCAGAACAGAATATACAAGAAAATGTGGACTCCAAATATCTGCATAGTGTAGAAACGCTTTGTGAAATTTACACTCTACGTATGAGAAGCGTGTTCAAGAGGTTCGACTGGATTTATTACTTTACCGAAGATCGTCGCAAGGAGGTAGAAGCGCTTACAATTGTTAACGATTTACTCAATGAAATAATACAGAAGAAAACTGTAGTGAGGCAGAAAAATGACGACAGTAACCGAAGAATGGACATGTTGCATCTGTTGATGAGAATGAAAATTGATGGAAAGCCTTTATCATTTCATGACATGAGGGAAGAACTCAACACCTTCCTTTTTGCAGTAAGAATTTTATTAAAGCAATGAAAAACACGAAAACATTCGTTAAGTTTAAACTGATCGCAAGTACAAGTTTGAGACATCAAATACGTACATTACAGTCGAGATATTGTTTAACAGTCATACTGGTATGAGAATCATTTGACACTGACAAATAGTAATGAACATGGATTTATGAAATTGTCTTTTCGTATTGAATTTCTGAATCCAGATAGGTATAAAAGATAATTCACACACCTGCAGACTATCTGGAGGATAATCAAGAAAATTTCAAAGTTTGAGATATTGTAGCAAAAATATTCCATAAAAAAACAAACTCCGTTTAACACGTTAACTGCCGCTATGAGAAAATCTTGCCTCAATGTGTCAAACTTTTAAAAAATCTTGCTTCGTTTTCGAGAAAAAAACAACTTCCAACTTCATCCAGACTCCTCGGAATTTGGTACTTTTATGTGGAGCGATAAGATTCTAACTTATCCCAAATTAAATTAAAATTATTGTTGTAACTTTATTTAAAAATACAAATGTATGTGGAAATTAATCTTTAGAAAGAAAACGTGGAGGTAAGTGAGTGGAATGTAGAACCATGCGCGGAAAATCATTCCCTTCTTTACGAAAGTATCAACGTCGATTGTGTCAACTCTAAATATAGCTATTAGATTATATAGTGCACTGAGGGGCCTCAAGTGACTTTAAAATTTTCGTAGGTTATGATCCTCCGCTCAGTGGCATCCACTCACTTAACTCCTTTTTTCGTGAAGATTTAATGGAATCTGGACATATTTTAAGAAGATACTGCCGCAAGAATACCGCATCCAAATTTATTGACGATCTGCCAGCTGCCATGTTGGTTGATGAAAACGAGACCTGAAATGTTGAGTGGACCTTCTCAAAAAAAATTTCACTTCAATTATCAACATAGGCAGGGCCTCTATATCTCTGGTAGCTAATAGTATATTATATTATGAAGTGGAAAAGTAACGTTTTCCGCACGCTAGATCGGTGTGTAATTAGGCATTTTACAGACGAGAGTAGAAAAATATGTTTTTCTACTCCCTTGTCAATTATACACAGATACCAATTACATCGAGGTTATGGAAAGTGTCATTTTAAGACGTCAGTTCATTACCTATCGCTGCGAGTCACTTCGGATAAATCCGGGAATTACCCACAGCTTGAACAGCTTCAGTTTTATTGCTTGTGAATTATGATGGTCATATCAGGCGTCACTCAGTCGTAAAAAAAGTATAGTATACAACGGAACGCTCACACTCAAAACCCCCTGCAGCTCCATTTCTACCTTTTATAGCAAAAAATGGAATTAAATTTATTTTTGTCACCGATTTGGGAACTATGGTGTTAAAGGAATAAATGTTGTGTTTTCTGTTATATTTTTTTCCAATTCCCAACAATTACAAAGTTTGATTCGTTTCGAAAATGTCGGCTTTGTTAATTTTTTCGTACCAGCTTTAGAGTGTTTTTAACATTTTTAATTTACCACGTTGATATATTTATATAGGTATAGTATAAGATGAATGGAAGATTGGATGTTGAGCATTTTAGTGCATGTGAATTTTAAAGATGCCTCAATATTCATTTGAAGAAATGAGCGACATTCGCTTTATGTATGGTAGAGTCAATGATTATGCTCTGGAAGCGAGTAGATATTACGAAGCCTCCGCAAATCGACGGCTTCCTTATAATAAAATGTTGAGTTCAATACATCAAAAGTTGAAGAAAATGGACTTTCTCACCAAATAAAATTGATGGTGGATGATACCGTACCACGCAAAGTGTGGAAGTGGAAGAAAGAGTTCCTCAAGAGGTTGAAGTGAATCCTCATATTAGTACCATCGGAATCTCAACAGTAGAATTATCAGGACCGTTTCATATTTGTTGGAGTGCTGTTTACAGAAGGAGCGAAGGTGTTTTTAATTCCCATGATAATCATGTATATCCATGAGATTTTTGAAAACCAATTTCAATATAAATATAAGTTTTCCATTAACGTTTGGACAGGTATCTTGGGAGATAATAGACCGCATGGTTATGCCTCAGTGTTTAAATGAGCCGGTATATTTAAATTTTTTAAGACATACTTTGCCGGATTTGCTAGAAGAAGAACAGGAATGTTTTTCACGCATATTGGTGCACCGGGTCATTTTATAGTAATAGTTGGTGATTATTTAAATACAACCTATCGAGACCGATGGATCGGACGGGGTGGACGCACTGCGTGGTCATATCGTTCACCTTACTTTAAACTCACTGGACTATTTTCCTGTGGGGTTATTTAAACGAATTATTGTTCGGTTTCTGTTGACAACGCGCAGCAAGTGGAATAGATTATTGCCATGAGATAAGGAATAAATATGGAATTTTCTATAGAGTTAGAAGGTCGATGAGACGTCGTTTGGAGAACTATATTAAGATGAATGGAAGATACTTTGAACATTTATTGTAGCATAAGAAAATAATAATAATAACAATAATATCCACACAATTAAATAAAAGCACTTCAAACATTTAATGTAACCTCGTATCAATTTTTATTAATTTAATGTCGGCCCAAACTGCACAGATCTTACCTAAGGGTGTTCATTTCTAATGACGCAAATTTATGAGGTTTTTGATATTAAAGTGGCGTCTCAACAAAAAAAAGTTGATAGAGGGCCAAACGCTATTTTGAATTAAAAAAGACAAAAAATTACCTAATTATTGGCGTCATTTTTTTTATTAAAAAAATTCGAAAAATTTTGATTAGAATTTGTTGCCAATTAACATACAATGATTTGTTTTTTTTTCTGGAAGACGAAGCAAGATGCGAAACAATTCAAGAGACAAGAACTGCATTTTTAATTGCCCAATTTGAAAAAATAAGGTAAATGTCAGTGGCGCACTTTTTTTGTCAAAAATAATCAATAGGGTGCCTTCCGGGATGCCACTGCACTTAATAATTTTAATTTTCAATTTTAAAATTCAACTAAATAGGTCAAGGGCTAGTTAAAATATTTATTAAAAGCCCATCTTGAAAACTGCATTTTCGGATTCTCATATAAACAAAATTCTTATTTTTTTTTTATAAAATTAAATTATTCCAACGCTATTTCGCGATACCCTGTCTCGAAACACAAACTGATTATTTAGGCGAGGACACATAACGACACTGATGGCAGCCAACATGGTAAAGCAATTTTCACTAAAAATTCCTTAATTAGCTAATCTGTTTTAATCCTGTTTAAAAAATAGGTACAGTTTATGTTATGTTATGCTATAATGCTATTCCTTTTAGGGTTTTGACACTACAGCCTCAGCATTATCTTTCGCCGTCTATGAAATTGCGGCAAATCCTAATGTACAGGTAGATAAATTGTTATTATTACTAATATATACTAACACATTATATATATATATATATATATATATATATATATATATATATATATATATATATATATATACATTGTCAAACGTGTCATAAAGAGAATTTGCGAGTATTTAATTCTATCCTACTATTCGTTCACTCACTATCAACGACCAACAAAATTGTTTTTAACTTTAAGCAGTTTTAATTTTGTAGAATAAAATTTTCGAGGAACAGAAAAAAATTTGGAAAGGGAATATGTGCAATCCAGTTTTGACTTACGAGAGCATAAACGAAATGGTTTACTTAGACTTAGTTGTCAAAGAAGTACTACGGTTATACCCTTCAGTGCCGTTTATAGGAAAACGCTTCGTAAAGGATATTTATTACGGTATGTAGGAGACCTATTTAGTTTAATTCCATATCTAGTTTTTTCTATATGGTATAAATCTTGTGCGCTGAGCTTTGGTCCGACATAAGCAAGACTGAAGCTAGAAAATGAGATAAGAAATCTAATAAGTAAAAAAAATTTGATAGACTAGTATGTTAATTCTAATTCTAAAAATAGTTTTAAACATTGGCAAAGCCGACACTCAATTGTACGACGAAATTATAGTACGTTTGCTTTTTCTTAACATGACTATATAAATAAATCGCATTGTAGAATAAAACTTGAATATATATATATATATATATATATATATATATATATATATATATATATATATATATATATATATATATATATATATATATATATATATATATATATATATATATATATATATATATATATATATATATATATATATATATATATATATATATATATATATATATATATATATATATATATGATGACACTATACTCCGGGATATCATCCGTTCGCTCGTTGAACTCCGACTGGAATATATATATATATATATATATACTTTTTATAAAACTTCTGGATTCCTCCTAGCTAGTTCGATTCAACAAAAACCGACGCAGGAGGAATCCAGAAGTTTTGTGAAAAGTATTACAGTAGCCTGTCGAAGTTTCTTTGAAAAAAAAGTCATTATTTTTGTTTTCGCCGGCATAATCGCAAATGCGTATTACAGAGTAAACTACATAAAGCTATTCCATGAGACCTTTGTAAGCTATAGCTTAGATTTCAACTAGCTACGAATTCAAATATGACTGTAATATAGATTTAATTAGAGCTATGTTTTCAACCAAAAGTAGCGAACATAAATACTTTCTCGAAAACCCTTAAATATGGGTGCTGGGTGTTATTAAACAAAAATAAACAGATATTCATAGCGAGATGAAATCTCCAATAATAGTACACGGTGTCCCATTTAAAATATCAAAATTGATGCTACTTTTTAGCAGAAGCGGCAACGGCGCCGCATTGAAAATATATAAGATCCTTGGTCAACGACCAAAATTTCACAACGATCCTAGCTCTCGTTTGCTATAAACGTCTAATCCGACACCCGCTATCAATCGCCTTATATAAGTTGCTTTATGAGAAAACGGTAATTTTAAATCAGAAACTCTTAAAGGACATAAAAAGATGCTTAGCAAATGTATTTCCATTTATTTTTAAATTATAACCAGTAGGTAGTTATTCTCTGACCATAAACAAAGAAAATGTTACGAATAGTTATTAAATAATTTTGGATAAATTTTAAATTGTTATAGGTGACATCCGACTGCCACGTATGCTGAACTTCTCCGTCTTTATTTATGCTCTACATAGACATCCAGACTACTTCACCGAACCGGAGAAGTTTATTCCGGAGAGGTTTGAAAATAAAGAACTAACGGATCCTCGCATATATGCTCCTTTCGGGGTTAAACCCCGCTCGTGTATAGGTAAAAGTTACTATTAACAAATATGTTACTAAAAGTGTTTACCACTACGAATGGTTTGAGATTGCTGCTTCATAATGGACCCGCGAAAGTTAACTTTATTGGATAACGAACACTTATCGGAAAAGAAATTAATTTAAACATGGGTTAACTTAACGGCCATTTGAAAAATGTTTGAGTTATAATTTTATGAAATTTTTGTAGTTTTTCATAGCTTTAGACTGGACAGTTTCTTAACAGAAAAAATATTTTATACTTTCAGGTCAGAGGTTTGCAATTTTAGAACTTAAAAGTGTCCTATCCAAACTAATCCGGAACTTCGAATTTGTAAATGTCCCAGGTCACAAACTTGTCTTAACAAGCAGATTAAACATAAAGTCACAAACGGGAATACATGTAATACTAAAAAGGAGAAAAAAGTAACATTCTCTCTTCTGTTATTGCAATAATGTTATGTAAACATCAGAATCAATTAATATACATAATATATATGTTATGGTTGTTATCATTTTGCCAATATCTTGAGTTGAATAAATTGATTATGGAACCTCCAGTTCAACTATAAAAAACTTATTTACTCACTTCCCTAAATTACCCAATTATACACTGATCGAGCGAGCGGATAGTTTTCGGAGATGTTATCCCGACTTGAATTTTGACTGATTTAGATTGATATGTCACTTGTCAAAATGTACCCGAAAAAAAGTATAGTACGCAACATGTTTGTTAAACTTTTTAAGGCAACTACACCGCTCATGCCAAAACTCGTGCCTGCTGAAAACATTTTTCCGCACTCATTGGCCGTTTAAAAGGGTTGCATAGCTCAAGGCATATTCTAACTCAAAATCTTAAAAAAACCTTATGCGATGCTCTTGTTCTCTCCGTGTTTAATTACTGTGATGTCGTGTATTGGCCTTGTTTCACAGCTAATTCGTCAAAATGTCTACAAGCTGAAGGAAGCGGGTTGAACGAACATGAAGACGCGGAGCTTGATCCATCGCTGTCTTTATTTCAAAATAATTAAGACAAAACATTCTGAATACCCCTCCGAAAAAATAACTTTTAGAACAGACGTGAATAACTTAAATCTAAGATTTAAAGGGGTCATAGTTCCTCCTCACCGATCTGGTATATTTGAAAGATCCTTCAGTTACGACAGTTACTATATAATGACCTGGCCCATTTCGTTCAGAATGCGATAATAAATTTTTTCCAAATAAACTAAAAACGTGGTTATGTTCTAGAATTTAAAGAGAAAAAAAATGGAAAAAAACATTGAGAAGTTACAGAACGCAGGAAGAATCAAACCAATGTACACTGCTAGTATTCTTTAAAAATTTGTGGTACTTACAGTACTTTAGCCTCCACTTAGCTCATAGTTTTTTTTATTTACAGAGGTAAGTTTAGGTTTTTCTTTCTGTTATATAATTAATTCGGTACTTAACACAATTGTAAACATTAATTAAAACCATGGTGTGATGTATGTGTAAGGATAAGTGTAGAAATCAGCAAGCAGATACGTCTGCGCGCTGCACTCTTGCCTTTTCTTGTAAATTTTCCTTGTCGAAATTACCCGAATAAACTATATTATTATAATTATTATTATAATATTTCACTTAAGAAAGTACTTTTCCAAACTAGTACTGAATTTGTTAACTTTCTTTGTTGGTTTAAAAATTATTGCCTGTTAAAGTGTAATAAATTGGTACACCCTGTATATATTTCTTCATAGACAAGTATGCCTGTAAGTTTATAGTAAATAATTTATTTTCTTATCTAAATCTACACATAAATATTTCTAGATTCAAATATGTACAAAAATTTATGATACAAAAACAAAACAGAAAATTAAAAAGTTATTGTCAGCGTCACTCATCAACCTTGGATGTATTGAACAAATTCAAATATTTGCCTTTTGTGATTTCCTTTGACTCCTCAACTCCTAACTGATAGGCGATATCATGTAATTCTTTCACCTTAGCTATCAAACCTGATGTTGATAAAGATGCCAATTCTAAAATAAATTAATACTTTCTTAAAAAAAAATTAAACATTAAAGAAATGACGTGAAAAACGTTTACTGATCGGATACAGTAGAAGTATACTCACGATGTAAATAATTCTGATCCTCCTCATTGAGTTCTCTAGAATAGGGCATTTTGTGTGACGTATAACTATTGTGGCTGTTCATAAACTTTGTCATACCTGGAACTAAGGACCCAGTTACTATAAAATCCCAAGAGTGTGCGCGTTATTACTTTTCTCTGGCCACATTTCTGGCGAAGCCCTATCCAGATTTTCCATAGCCAAAAGACTGCGTCCGAATTCGACCAAGTTTTCCGAGTGCTCACCTTCTGCAACAAAAATCAATGGCATTTGACAGATGGGCAGCTTCAAACGGCGCATAATATTATTTTCTAAAATAATGTCACCATAATGTTGGATTTATGAAAAGCTACATTCGTGTTGCTTCAAGGCGTTGTAATAAGTGATAAAACAGCACCAAGTGAGTTTAAAATCATTTAAAAACGAAAAAAAATTGTTACCTTGTTCAACGCTCCCGGGTTTCTCGTCGGCCATCTTGCAATTGTACCAACAATTTGGGCAATAACCAAAATCACTAGGTTTTAAAAGTAAGCCGTTAAATATTGCAATTAAAGCGCTATAAAACAAAACCTGGATTTACTTTCAACCGGTTTTTGCTTTTTATATTTTGATTAAGTCGTTCAAATGCGTCTGATAACAGTTCAATCCATTTTTTGAATAGCAGAGCGGAAATAATCCTCAAAAATTATGTTGGTAACTTGTGATGTTTTGCTTTACTGAACGAATGACTACTAACCTAAATGGTGTGAATTTTCATAGCCGTTCAATTTTATATGGAAGTATTATCTCACGCGGGTAGATGTTTTACGATGAATTAGATTTGCAATCAGTTATTCATGCTGTAGTGTAATTGATTATTTAGAATCGCTTGAAATACGTCGCTAGGTGAGTACCTTGGTGATGTTTACGCCACTAATGACACAAGTTGTGCGTAAGATGATTAATAGTAATATAACATTAATTGATGCGAGGTAAGAGTTAGGACGCTGCCTCAATTGCACAAAAATTGCGTGAAGACTGCCAGTAAATGCAGCAACATAGATTAAACGCTAAAAATGCTTATTGAACTATGGGCGAGAAATGGTTTTCAGATATTGTGCCTATGTTGATTTTGTGCATGCTTTATGCTTTTACTACCATCAATAGCAAAACCTCCTTTTATTGTAGCACCAAATATGTAACTATCTATTGTTTGTTTGATACAGAACTTTGATCATGGGTTCAACACTGTCGGAGCCAGTAACAACCAAGGATACGGCATGTGTGAGAAACTCAAGTTTCAGGGTTGGCTCCAGCTGTATGCAGGGATGGAGGATAAATATGGAAGATTCTCACACTCACATCTTATCGTTGCCAGATGACCCAGGCACTGCGTTTTTTGGTGTATATGATGGTCATGGTGGAGCAAAAATTGCTGAATATGCTGGCAAGCATCTGCACAAATATATTATAAATAGAGAAGAGTATCGAGGGAACAATGTATCCGCTGCAATGAGAGAGGCTTTTTTGGAACTAGACCAGGCTATGATAGATGAAGACTCACTTAAAAGTGAAGAGTCGGGATCCACTGCCGTTACAATTATTATCAAAGGAGATCAACTATACTGTGCCAATTTGGGTGACTCAAGGGCAATTGCCAGTGTCAATGGCAAGTTAGAAATTTTATCAAAGGACCATAAGCCTAATAACATGGAGGAGTACAACCGGATTGTTGCTGCAGGTGGATGGGTAGACTGCAATAGAGTTAATGGAAATTTAGCTCTATCTCGGGCACTTGGAGATTATATATTCAAGCAAAATTCTAGTAAAGGACCAGAGGAACAGATTGTTACAGGTTAGTAATTAATTTTTTTATTTATTTTATGAATGTCCCTATTTGGTTATCAACTTTGGAAATTTGCTGATTTATAAACATTAGCATTACCAGAAGTAATAGAAAAAACAATCACTGCCGATTGGGATTTTCTGGTACTGGCTTGCGATGGCATATGGGATGTAATGAGCAGTTGGGAAGTCATTAAATTTGTTATTGAAAATATAGCAAATGGATCAGAGCCTGAAGAGATTTGCGAAAATATTATGATGAGATGTCTTGCACCTGATTCTCAGATGGCTGGACTTGGCTGCGACAATATGACAGTGGTAATTTCCTTATATAGTTATTACAACATTTTTTTATCACTATGTATTTAGGTTATTGTTGCTCTATTGCATGGAGGTACCTATGAACAGCTCCAGGAAAGGTGCAAAGGTTATCTTGAAGAGCTATAAGGCTGCAAAAGCTTGAGGAGGAGCAGCACCAGTTGGAATGCTAAGCGACCTCTGTAAATAAATTGTACATTGTTTTTTTTTTGTTGATACCTATATATATATATATTTGCGTTAGAAGAGTGGTTTACCGAGTTTTTACAAATGTAGTATTAAATTTTGTGATGTCAATTGTCATAATATCAGTTTTAGATTGATGATTCGGTTCTTTAATATTTTGGATTTTGACAAACTGGATAAATATTTTAGTATTAAATTTGACTTTTTTTCTACCTCATCTCCAATCATGAACTTCAAATATATGGTATAACAAAAATACTTTATTCCAACATTTTTTTTATTAACTTCAATTTAATAAACCGTATCTAATTAAAATATGTCTGAACCTGTCCGTCTTGCATTATTCAAAGCTTCTTCAGCAGTTAATTTCTCTTCCTGTGATGGCTCAATACTATTCCCATATTCGTCCAATTTGCCCTCATTAAAATCTTTCATTATCTTTGGAGCGTAAACCACATTAAACAAGTCTTGAGGGGTAAATTCAGTTTGAGTAATCTCAGGTGTTCTATATGATACATAAGGAAGTAACTAAAATTTGAAGATTATCACTTCAAGGCCTTAAATTATTGATTTTTTTTTACTTTACAATCCTTTAAGTCGGGCACAATTAGTTTGGGAATTTTTTCAGGAATTACAACAAATTTTCCATTCAGTTCATGCCCAATGTCCCTTACACCCCGTTCTGCAATATATTTATATATAATATAAGTAAAAATGCACTGGATACTTACTGTGTACAGGAACATCAGGATCTGGATTTGTGATTCGTTGTTTTTTGAATTGTCGACTGCCCCGTTTATTAAATATTTGAAATTTTCTAAAATTCCTTTTGCCCAAATTGACAGATGAAGTAGTAAACAATCTTTTAATTATATGGCTTGACATTTCGTCTCAATTCTTTTGGTTAACATATGTCGATTTAAAATACAGACCAAATAATACCTATTTCTTATTCTTCGGACCAAAATTAATGAAGGCCATTAAAATTTAGGCACCCACAGAATAATACTTCCACATAAATAAGAGAAGTATGGATCTGTGGTAAATTTGGTACTTCTTTATTTACCAGGGTGGCGAATGACCATGGTACTTTGAGAAGTTGTTTGGGAAGTGTTTTAAGAAGAAGAAGATTAACTATGGTAAGTTTGTAATTTAGAATACATATTTAAAAACCAAAGTAGGGTTGTTCCCATCAAAGTATCGATGCCTACTCACTTCGCTAGTACTCAAATTTTTTTCGATACTACTCAAATAAATACTCCTAAAGTATCGATACTTACTCATATCGATACTTTTAGCAGCTTATTTTTTTTATTTATTTTAAGGAAACTAACAATGAACGTCGAAGGACAATAATTAAAACAAAATTAAGAAGGAAAAGAAAACTTTTTTTATAAAGGTTTGCGTCACGTTAAGCACTTACTTTGAACAAAAAACTCCATGATGACATTGGAACAATAAATCGATGATTAAAATAAATAAAATTATTCGTAGGCAACCTCTTGCACGTTTGACAATTTATGATGGTTGACAATGAAAAAAAAATAAGGGCGGACGTTTTTCTCGCCTTTGGCTCGGGTTCGGTCGAGGGAACTCGGACGAGTTCAGCTTTTCTGGCTCAAGACAACGCGTCACTACAGATCAGATAGAGATTATGTTTGTCTGGTGCGTTCGATTTTTTTTTAATGGTGAGGCTGATTCGATTTGATACCAAATATTTTGATTTCGATACCGAGTAAGTATCGCAAGATTGATTCGATGCTATAAATACTTGGTATCGAATCAAAAGTATCGAGTACCTACTCTTATTTACTACTATCGGAATATCCCTAAACCAAAGTTAATCTAAGGTCTAAGAAAAAGATGGACCCATGACCTAGCGGTTAATCGGGTTTTCTGTGGCCATCCTATAGCTGCTAGAGATATGTATTGAATTAGTGACCTATGATGCCTCATAAGACTGGATTTGACTATATGCGATTCCACTGATTTCCATTAATTTTTATTGGCCTCGGTATTCTTTTTAATAAACGCACGCGGCAGATCAAGTTTTCAGCTTTTTACATAGGTTCAGATTTTTTTATGCTAAATGAAAGCCTGGGCATAAACCATTTTAAAAGCCAAAAAAGCCACATACAATATAAAAACAAGCTAAAACTGAAACAGGATTGGGCATTAATAGTGAATCTACCTTGGAGCTTAGAATTGACTGTTTAATATAATAACATTTCATTGAAAAGAATAAATAAATAGAAGGAATAAAATTGAATGTTTTTGCCTATAAATGAACAAGTATTTTAGAGAGTTGGTGAAAATCAATCAAATAATTATTATAAAGGAGGGATTCACATGCAATAAACATTATAAAACTATTGCGCATACCGTGACTTAATGGACATTAAGCACATGAGCTTATAAATTGATTAAAAAATTACAAATAAAATACTTGTGTTATTCCAAAATTATATTTTAAACAAATATTTAACAATACAAAAAGGCGTACAGCAGATGTAATTCTGAGGAAACATTTGACTAGCATTTAACAATCATGATTTTGGGATTTGTTAAGAAAACAAAATGAGATATTTTATTTCACTATATAGGAATGCTACAAGCAGATTTCAACTGAATAGTAACATTTTAGCTAAAGATTTTTAAGGTGAATCTTTTTTAAATTATTGTTTGCACCATACAGGGAATTTTTATGAATGTAATCAATTACTTTATCTGGTATCAAATACTTTACAGATTCAGACCTTTGAAATGCCTTTCTTATCTTTGTGGAGCTTATTTCATTTTGTATCCATTCAGTAACTATTGTGATGTTTGATCTGTATTTTGTAAGAATATCTGAATTATAAATAAATTCATTTGGATTTGAATTTGATCTAGTGATAACGACCAGCCCATGCTGCCCTACAATAGCTTCAATATCATCGTCTGACCATAGGCCAGGAGTTCCAAATGACTCCAGCAAATCGGCACCACACAACAACTTTACTGTTATACCTGCATTGTGATAACGAATATCTTCCGGCAACCATTTGAAATCTGCTTCATTCAAATTATCTTCATTAGAATGTAATACAGAATTGATATGATTTTGATGGTATTGTAGGATTTGTTTGGTTCGACTCCATGTTTCCTGGTTTGCCTCCCAATCAGATAATTTTATCCAATTATTATCTTGTAGGGCAAGGTTAATCATGTTCAGACGGTGAGTGGAGGATTCTAAATCCTTTTTGCCATAAGAATCATGTACAGGGGAGATAATTCCTCCAACCACTTCACATTTATTCACCTCCTGCAAATGATCTTTGGCGATTTCAAACATCCTTAAGTGCATGTTAGTAGGCGGATTAAAGCAGCCGCATGCGAGTAAAACCACTGCATTTGATTGTACTTTTATAAACTCCATTCCGAAAATTCGTTTTTCATGAAAAGGTAAGTTAAAAAATGATGGACAGCAGGCGTACATAACCTTACGCCATGCAGATAACTAAACTTTCAATAACTTATTTAGTGAATTCTAATGGTGGTGTGAATTAACATCAATAGGATCTAACAAAATACTCAGGAAAACAATATATAGTCATGACTTTAGATTACGCACAGAATAGCATGGATAACTATTCTTCTTTATTTAAATAATACAGGTAAAGACATCTGTTCTTTGATTACACTAACTAGAGTTGTGTCAATCGCGATTGATTCGGTCACACACGACGACCGATCGACCGACCGTACCAAAACAATATGATTCATGAGGCAAGCCACGGAAAAGGAATGGAAGTATTGTTATAACTATTCTATAGTATTGAGCTGCGACAACGGTTGCTAGATTTGTTTGTGTTGAATGTAATTTTGAATGAAATATCTATTTCCACACAGGTATTTAATTTAAACAAATCAATGCATTACTGGTGCAACCCAATACGTAGCACCTATTTTGATAAAATCATGATTCAATAAAAAACAGAACACAGCTAAATTTATACTAACAAGAACAGAAAACATAACATATAGACACTACAAATATTTCAAATTCAAATGAATCTGAATCGGTTGTTCCGACTTGTGTTGGAATCAAAAAGAATTGAAATGAACGATTGATTGAAATAATTCGGTCCTTTTCGAAACGGTCACTGATTGATTCGGTTCTCCTAAATCAACGATTGACACAACACTAACACTTCAATTCAATTATGCGTTTCACAAAAAAAAATGTTGGGCTCGACTGCTAGGATCATTCGCCCATTGCCGACTTCCGTCGAGGATTTTCGCTTCTGGTCAATGACCACCACGTGCAAAGAAGAAAAATAACCAATAATTTGCTCAGCTAGCAAAAAACGATTCTGACCGATACCAAAAAAATTGGCTTCCCCCCGCTTCCACTGCCTACCATCCGGGCCCATCCGGCCTCCATACCGGCGTGAACAGGGAAAAACGACGGGGCCGACGACGATTATCACTTTAAAACATGCACTGAACACTAAAAACACTAAGTCCACACAGTGGAAACCGATATCAAACTTTTGAGGACGAATACAAGGGATTCTGTCGGGAGCGAACGGAGGTTAAACCGCCTCGTGCAATGCTCCACCACAGAATAAAACACTAACACTAACATCTCTCCAGGATCTTTATCTACCCTTATTTCTCTTGGCTGTGATTGCTATGATCACTCGGCCACTTACGAATATACTTAAACATGTTCTTTATAATCTGGAGGGTGCCTTAATTCAAAGAGACTAGACCCTCCGAGGGGAACGGAAACAACAATTGGAACCCTTCAAAATTCTTTAACCGATAGCAAAAAACGGCCTGCCCCGCTTCTCCCAGCGACCGACCGGGCCCATCCGGCCACCAGACCGGCGTGAACAGGAAAAAACGACGTGGCCGACAACGATTATAACTTTAAAACATTCACTGAACACTAAATCCAAATCCAAAACGATAAGTTATCAACCCTTTTAAAATATCTACTGCTACTCCTACCTCACCTAGTTAATTCGAAATAAGTGCTAGGCGTTATTGGTATAGGAGAGCTTGTGCTTTAATAATTTTCGATTGCTAGAGAATTTAATCGCAAATCCTTGTATTGAAAGATTTAGAACACAGAATTCTAAGCCTAGTATGGAGAATAACCACAGACGGTCAGTTACTGTCGACCCGAAGTGGGAGCTGTGACGTATTGTTTCTTTCAAAGCGTTGACCATTTATATTCTGTTTCGTGTTCTCGACCTCTAACTGTCGATTGTCAAAATTATAATTAACCACAGAATGCTACACGAAAAATATGGATCTAGAATGTGAAAACTATTTGAACTTAATAATGGGTGAAACAAGGTTTGACAACACATATTTTATTCAGTGGTTTGATGTTCGGAGAGATTAGCTCAAAAAAAAATAGCATTCTGTGGTGTGTCGTCAGCTAAAGCGCCATTTTACATAATACAATATCATTTCATTTTTTTTATTTTACGGTTGTAGTGTAGCGACGTTATTCTAGCTATTGATAATTTTAACGCATATTGCAGATAAGTGGGTAAAAACATTGTGACATCTTCAGGTTGTATACGATTTTTGTCACAAAAATGGCGAAGCCTACATTCAAAAAGGGAGACAAAGTATTTGCAAAAGTTAAAGGATATCCTCCTTGGCCAGCTGCGGTAAGTGTAATAGAGTGTAAAGTCTAAATTTTATTCAAAATTGGTAATACTAAATAAAGTGCTTAAAATGTTTGTTACAGATTGTAGAGGATATTGGCAAAAGAAAATACAGTGTTATATTTTATGGTACAAAAGAGACGTAATAAGTTTTTTCCATAATGTTTTTCATTTCCATTATCCTTTTCTTGTTTTAGAGGTACCATAAAGGTAGAAGATTTGTGTTATTATTTGCAAAATAGAGACAATTATGCTCCAAAATATCTTAAAAGGGCAGGATATGAAGAAGCTGTAAATGAAATTGATGCTGCTGTAAAACAAGATGGTGGAGATGGTAGTGAAAATTCAACCTATTCACCCTTAAAACATGATGTAAGTATGTGATATAATAAATTCTTGGGTACTTTATATTAGTATTCTTTAGAAGAGTGTTCAAGATGTTTCTGATTCTTCAACTGATGGTTCAATTACTGAAAAGAAAGCTATTAAAAGAAAAGCAAATTCTCTTCCAGATGAACCAGCCGCCAAAAAGTCTGTAGGTCGGCCAAGAAGGAAATCAATAGCAATTGATTTAAAGGGTAATGGAAAAATTATTCATTTAAATTAGTTATTAATAACATTAATTTTAGATGATGGACCAATTGAAAATCAACATGAGAAAGAACCCAGAAAAAAATTAGCTCATGTAGATTACAAGGTCAGTTTAGCTGAAACTATAATAAAAGAACAAAAAGAAGAGGATAATAGCCCAAAAGAGTAAGTTTCCTTATATCAGGTGCATATAATGCATGAGATTTTAAATGATTTAGTCATTTACACTGAATCATCTCATCTAAACTAATGAGAACAAACCAACACTAGAACATTTATTCTGGAAGTCATTGTTTAGTTTTTGTATGTTCAAAAATATGGGGCTTCAGGGGTAGTTCTTGATTCATTAATTAATATGTTCATCCATTTGCTGGGCAAAAAGGTTATTTGATATATAAACCAAAATGCAAAGATATAATTTTGGTGTTTTGAGTAACCTCACAGTATTTAGGACCTTGCCGACAAACACACCTGAAGATCAGAATGTTTGTGCGATTTTTCCTTACATTTGAATTAATCTTTATCTTGAAATAGTTGTTGCATTGACGTTTCTTGAAGTTGAAAAATTTAATATAAGATAAACTGCAAATTGTTTGACTAAGGCTTTTGTTTAGTGTATACAAGTAATAATTTTTGTTATAGTCATCCTCATTAGTAGTAATCAAAACATGACTTAGCAGGTATTCATTTAAAGAAAAATGTACTAATGATATTAAATAGGTATTACAAAATAGGGTGAAATATCCAACAACCAGAAATGTACATTTGGTTATTGTTGGTTAGCTATTGTAACCCAACAGCATAAATACAGGATCTAGCCAACAGATTCTCCAACAGTTAAGATGAATTTGTGCCATGCATCCAAACAAAGTCAAACAAAGTTAAATATTGAACTGGATCATATGCTTATATTTTGTCTTAGGCCTGAATTTGTTTCAATAGAAGATAATACAGACTCTACTCTACAACCCGAAGAAATAACTTTAGCCACAGCTAGTAAGTTTGATGTTGTTACTGAAAGATTGCTCAAGAACAATGTTTTATATGTGAGTCTTGTTTTTCATGTGTAAATTAAAATACGACAATGAAGTTATTTTTTAGGGAAAATATGTTAGAGACCATGAGAGTATTTACAAAGGTATGACTTGTATTCAGAATTGTAATGTTTTTTTTTGGTTCTAAAAATAATGGTTCAATTTGCAGGTAAAGCCGTAGAGACTAGAGAAGATGGCAAGAATACCGTTTTTCCAGTAAAATTACCATTAGGGCCAGTGTGTGGTTTGAAGATTCACAGAGAGTGGCCCTTGAAGTTCTCTGATGAGTATGATAGGGCATTGTATGATGAAAAAGTAAGGCTGGGCGAGTTGTAGTACTAATTTTTTCTAGCTATTTTCTTAGAGCTATTGGTGATTAAGTACATAGTAGGATATAATTTATAAATATTTTTTACATAACAAAAAACTTTTGTTTAGGTAGGGACTGAGCTATTAGAACTAAAAAAAAAATTGATTACTGGGAATAAAATTGCAGTAGACGAAGAACAAGATTTAATCATTCTTGACATTAATATGACTGTAGATGACATAAAAGAAATATCTTATAAAAGGGACATTGAAGCTAAGCAAAGTCGGTTAGAAAGGTTGAAAATAGAAGCAAGTTTAGTGTCTCTAGATTCAAAAATCAAAGATAGTCTGGGTAAGGTTTCCTTCAAATATTGGGTATAAATTATTTGTCATTGACAGTGCTATTCACAGGTTTAGACAAAGCAGATCCTACTTTGGCTCTGGAACACCTAAAAGAGTTTGACACTGTGGACTTTGACCCTCTAATGTTGAAGAAGCACCCTCACATCATGGATACTGTGAGGAGGTTGCGCAAATATGTTGGAAATGTAAAAGAATGGAACATGACAGATAAAGAACTAGAAGAATTTATGGCAAAGGCGGCGAAGATTAGGACAGAAGCTGAAAAACTGTATGATAAAATTAAGGTGGGACTTAAATATTTCTTTTAATTTTCTTTTCATTATACTTTACTTTTAGAGTTTATTCGCACTCCCAGATTCAAAGATACCGTTCTGGGATGCATTTTTGGAAATTCTTACAGACTTTCGAAACCATTGTAAATCTTTAACAGATGAACAGATTTCTCTTCTTTGCGCAGAACCGAGTAAGTATATTCAAGAACTCTTTAAGTGCGTAAAATTCAGAATTTTGTGCCTGATGAAATATATTTTTTATCAGATTCCCGGAAGGCATTTTTTGATAGATTAGATGATGCTTCAGAGTTGCAGAAGACGGTTGAAATAAGCGACATTTGAATCAATGAAACCCACTATGTTTGAATCTCTATATTGTGAATGTCGTGTACAATTAGTAGGATTTTATGAACTATCATATTTTTTAAAACTTATTTACCAGCAAAATGTAATTGATATTGATTCCACATCATTTTCTGTTTACTTACGAAAAACTTTATATCAAACACTGTTTACTTTACCAGCAATTTTGGTAAAAACATAAGTTAATAAATTAATTTTGGAATCTAATAGTAGTTTATGTAGCAAGCAAAGTGATATTTTACTTGAAAAGTAGGTAAGTTCCAAAACAAAGCCTGCAGCAGCGAAATTAGCAACATATACAAGAATCTGTAAATCGACTATTACTTTTAATAAAACAGCTTGGAATTTTTTTTCTTTTAGAAGGCCACCAATTACAATTCTATTGCAAAAAAAATACAGTTAACATGGCGGTCAATGGCGTGGATGTGCTGGTCCATTTGTCCTCGCTGCAAATGGTTGACAGTAACCAGCACCACATACGCCACGCTATGTTTTTTTATTTTCGTTGTAGACTTGACAAATATAAATAAGAACACAACATGTTTTGTTCTTGTTTATTTATTAAGTCAAGCTGACAACATCTTTGCTTTTGTAATATATTTATTAGTCAAAACAAGCTGAATTTCGTACTATTCACAAATCTTCTGCATTCCTTGACATCCAATGTAGACGTTTCACCAATTATCCTGTTGGCTTCTTCAGAGGTTAACAAACTGCTCATATATTGTTATATTGTTTGAGGGTTCGGAGTTAAAAGAAGGGGTGTGGTGGGGTATGAACATGATCTTGGATGACTGATTCCCATATTGACTGAGTCGCGGTTAAGATTGTTTGGTTGCTTATAGATTTCTATAGATTCTCGGATCTTTCTTTGGTTGAGGAATTGATTGCATACAACAATTTTATTTTTATCAAATAAAATTTAATGTCCGGTTTCGTGACTGTGATCGGCGACTGTTGATGAGTTTATTTGTCGTAGTCTTAAGGCTCTTTCATGTTCTTTGAGCATAGTTGATATTTTTCATCCTGAATTTTGTCTCTGACGAATCGAAGATGTTGAGAGATTTTTTGACGTTATATTTCTTAATAACTTTTTATATGTTGTCAGTGAGTTTTCAATGTAAGGTAGGACACTAGTAGCAAGTGTGGGGTTGCTTTCGGACTCATTGTATTTGGAAGGTTGTGGTGAAGTGAGTGTGAGTGTGAGTGGTGAGCCGGAGGGTAATGTGACAATGCATTAAGGTATCAGGCTGTAGGCGTAGGTTTTCTGTAAACAGAATGATTCAATATTAGGTCTGATTTTAGGTCATTAGTTTCTAATTCAATGGTAAAACGTATGTTAAATGGTCAAGGAAATTTCGGAGGTTTTCTAGACCATACAGCCAAATAAAAGTATCTACCAACGAAAAATCCAAGAATCTGTAGAAATCTATAAGCAACCAATCTCAACCGGGACTCAGGTCCTTTCACCAATGTGCATGCCCCCTCAAACAATATATAAGTTATTCGAGTAGAATGCGACACAGTTTCATTTAAGCTGTAAAGAAGCCAACAGGATGATTGGCGAAACGTCAGCAAGTTCGACTCAGTAAAAACCGACGCAGGAGGAATCCAGATGATGTAAATATACTACAGTAGCCTGTGCAAGTTTTTTTGAAAAATGAAACTGACTATTTTAATTTAAATACTTTTACAACCATCAGGTTCTTATAAACTAACCTCCCTGCAAATTCTGCATCCTACCATAAATATACATACATACTGTGGCGTATTTGAGAAAATGAATGAAAATTTTGTAAATTTTGGACGCCCTGTAAGCGATAAAGAGTATCAATTTCTCAGAAACCCAAAAATGAAATAATATACCGGGCGTTCCAGTTTGACATGGAGCGACTTATGTAATTTCACGGTTTCGTTTGATGAACGCGAACAATTTTAGTTGTTTCAAAAACGTATATTTTAATTTAATTATATGAATTGATTTTTAGGAACCAATGCAAGAATTTCTTAGCATATATTTGTTAATGCTTAGTTTGACTACAGCATAAATTTCTCCTGTCTCGTACTATTCTAGGCGTATCTTTTTTACCCGCAAGTTTCCCCTGTGGGCGGGTTATATTTTTCTTTTTCGGCATACAGCGTGATTTACAAACGAAGACGAAACATTATTCGAGAAGTAAATGAAACCTTTAGAAAATATTAGATCTTTTCTATAAAGTTTTTATCTAGGACGTTTAAATTTGTTAAAAAATTTGTTCAACGGAAAAACCAATTTTCACTTCCTCTACATATTTTAAAACCGAGTGAGAGAACTTGGCACATTGATTTACACAAACTGCCATTTTGCCACAATTTCGATATTCCAGTGGCGGAGACACAGGGTAAGTATTAGTGAGTAGGTATTAATTTTATAAATAAAATAGTAGGGCCACTGGTTTGTTGTAACAGTCACAAAATTTTTGGATTCTAAATTCAATTCTCTATAAATTCTTTCTTAAAAAATATGTCTTTCAGATAAGCTTGTTTTTAGTATAATTTAAAAAACGATATAAAATCACAATTAGATTTGAAATTTTATAGAAGGCATGCAATTGGAATTTTGATATTCTATCAATAATGGAACTATTTTTCTAATTTGTTTTACTAGAAAATCAAATAAAAAATTTAATGCCTTTTTAAGATGCATGCAGAAGTAGTAATTTACAAAAAAATTAAAGATGAATCCAAAAGTTTCAATTATTTAGGAACTATTTTATTATTATTAAAAATAATGTAAATAAATTAAGTCCAGATCTTGACGTTTAACACACTGTATCATTTTAACGAAGTATCATAAATAAAATAAGAGCTCACTCGAACGCAATAAGTTAACATATAATTTTTAAATGATTAATAAATGCGAATATTACTGAAAAATAGATTTGTGTAGGGAAACTATAATATCATTGTTATATGAACATCTTTCCTTTTTTATATTAATTTCTGTATTGCACGCTTTTATGAAATAGATCTACAAAAACATTTTTTCAAAACAGTGATAAATAAGACAGATATAGTACTTTGTCGTACTAGTGCTCCTCTCTGTATGTATAAGTCATATTTGGTATTAATATTTTAGAAATTATCCTTTGATTTTGAAAATCTGTAACTAAAAGCATTTGTATTATTGTATTATTAATTTTTTGCTCAGAATACAAAATCAGAATAATCTACAGGGTGTTCTATTCAAAATGTTACGTATGTGCTGTATACGATGGATTTTTGGAACTAAAAGCGTAACTTGTAATAAGCACATCAAAAATAATAAAAAATAAAAATAAATTTTTAAAATTTGTTCTTAAAGAAATTCCTTAACAAGCTGTAAGTAGTTTTGCAAGTATTGCCTGATCTTATCTGATCATTACATTAATTTCAGAAAATGAGATTTGTTTGACAGGAAATGTTATGATTTTTATCAAACAGATAATACTTTGAAGTACCCAAATATCTAGAACAAATGGAATATCTGTACTTATATAGTGAAACAGGTCCACTTAAGCACTCTAGACTATTTTTCTTACCGTAGGTAAATTATAAGGAAGGAGAAATTTCGGCAAAATGAAAACTATAACGATTTTGGTTGTAATAGCCAGTTACATTTCAGGTATACCATTTACATTACTTACAATATTATTTGTTTTGCTGCTGGGTTCTGTACTACGTGAATTATTTCCAGCTGGTCCTACGAACCCCTCAGGACGTATTTCATATGGTGAAGTCGCTGAACGCGGTCAATTTCCCTATCAGGTATCAGTTCAACTCTCTCTAGGATTTACATTCTATCCTTCTTGTGGAGGAAGTATTTTGTCACCTGAATATATTTTAACTGCCGCCCATTGTTTTCCAATTCCCGGTGCAGCAAGTTATCAAGTGCTTGCAGGGATAACTAATGTGTACGATGTCAACGTAGGAGAACAGAGGCGAAACGTTTTGAATTACGTCATACACGAACTTTATCAAAGGTGAATAATGCAACTGTTTTTGAGATTTTTAGCAATTGAATATCTCCCACGATTGTTGAAGCTATGAACCTAATAAATTGCTTCGGTTTTGTTTTCCTGCGTTCATTAATTATCAAAAAATTGGGAGGAACTTTTCCTTTTGTCACTGATGCCTTGAATAATCGAATTTGCAAAGTTTATATTAACTGATTTTTACTTTTAGTGGATTTGTCCTAGCTTCTCCTCATGACATTGCCGTGGTGCAATTAACAGATCCCCTTATCTATACCGACACCATCAAACCCATTGCTCTTCCTCCTGTAAATGCAGAATTCACAGGAATTGCTACCCTTTCAGGTTGGGGTGAGACTGAGACAGGTAGAGAATCAAGTATTTTGTTATATGCAGAAATACCACTTATCGATGTGACTGGTAAGTGTTTTCTAATATATGTCTTGCCTCATATTTATTATTAAGTTATTATTAATATGTGGGTTACGTTTTTTAGAATGCAATAATGCTCTGGTAAAACTTATGGATCCTAGAGCGAATAACCCGTTTGATTCGCAGACCAACATTTGCACCTTTTCGACAACATATCAATCATCATGTACTGGGGATTCTGGTGGACCGTTAGCCTTAAATGGAACCCTCATCGGTATCGTCTCTTGGGGCATGGGGAACTGCGGGGACAAGATCTACTCGCCGTCTGTTTACGTTAAAGTATCAAAATATATAGATTGGATACAACAGCATTCTGACTTGTGATTCTAAAAACAATGGATAAGCTGAATATTTTAAAAAGAGAATTTTATTCTTTCCTTCCGCAATATGATACAAAAGTGAGGGAATGCAGCTGTCTTACAAATGTTTTCTTAAAAAAAACTGCTAGTAGTAATTATTCCATCAACAATTGCATTGCATCGTAAAACACCTCGTTTTTTCTTTATTATTAAAGTAGATTATACAAATCCAAAAGAAACATATTTTTTAGAAGTATTGCTCACTGTTAAAACATAAATTTATAGTGGACGTTCTGAACTCGTAAATTTTTAAACATCATCTTCGGTGAAATTTAAATCGTCTACCAAACGAAACAGCCAGTAGCTGATATCACGTGCCTTACTGCACTGCACTAGTAGTGTGCTCGTATTTGGCAAGCCTTTACATGACTCATAAGTTTTAGGTATGAAGATTTTTCGGAAAAGAGTTCTCACTTCAGAAGTTGTGCTTCATAAAGCACGACCCACTAATAGAAATATGTTGCCATATACAGGTCGTTATTGAAATAACCTTATATAATTATTTTTTTGTAACCTTATTCAGTCCATCAGGACTATGATAGCGCTATTGGACATCTCATTATCAAACAACCGATATACCTACCGTAGCAACCACTTAATGCATTTTTTTATGGTTATGACCGTCTTGCGTACAAATTACCATACAGATTTCAGTTAATTATTAATAAGCAACAACTTTAAATGACTGTAAAAGTTGGTTGTACCAAATCATTGATTGTAACTAAAATTGTGACAACTCATCTGTGTAAATACTGCTATTCTATAATAAATACTGCTTGCGAGGTGCGCAGAAAGAAAGGAAATGAACGAAAAGAAGGAAAGGAAACTGCGCTACGGACAAAATTCGTGCTACTAACGTCAAGAATAAAAATAATTTAATTTTGGTTACGTACGTTGTCATTTCAATTAAAAGTGTTTGTCAATTAGCCAGAGTTTACTGCCTATACCTATTTCGAACGAGATTTATGTGCAATAAATGAATGAACACAGCAAATTCTTTTTTCTACTACCATCTGTAAAATACCTAATTACGCACCGATCTAGCGTGCGGGAAGCGTCGCTTTACCACGTCAGTTTCGTTTCCCATGAATCCGAGCCACTTCGGACATTTCCGGAATTTTTCCGAGATATTTCGCAGGCTTTGAATTTTGGCGTTTGTCAATTCTGACAGTCATGTCAGTGAATGTATTCGTGTTTTGCGAAAATGTACCCAAAAATTAACTGTCGTAGAAAAAGTATAGTATGCAACACATTTGTAAACTTTTTGACTCACTCGTTTATTAAACACTCGCTCCGATCGTGTCAAATAAACTCGTGAGTCAAATGCCGTTTACCGCACTTGTTGCATAATATACTATATATATAAGTTAGTGAGAGTATGTTTTTTTGCATTAGTTGTTGGTTGTTGGTAAGTCACTTTCGTAATTTTCGAAAAATGTGTTGTTTAATAATGGAAAGGACTATTTTTTTGCGGTTTCAATCGAGTCAGTGTTCCTGTTCAAAACGAATCAGGAAGCTATTGTAGTGTTACCAGACCGCTGGATCATATTTGAACTTGAACACGTGCATGCTCATAGTGAATAAGGGACATTCACTTCCGAACATTTTTAGTGTATAGTTTGTTTGTCTGCTGAACGATTTCTACTTTGTCATTCAATTGAAATCATTAAATCAAGGAGGAAATGTGTACTAAATTAATTTAACATTTAGGTGCTAACTAAAAGACATGCAAAAGTTACATAACTTGACTACCTCTACATATACAAATTAGTAGTTTAGAGACATTAACATTAACATAAACATTATTTTTTTAAAAATGCTTATTATATATCTTTTATATCACTATGCTACACAAAAGCGTTGCAATTTAATAAGAAAACAATCAACTTACTAAAATTACTAAAAACTAGAGTTTTTGTAAAAATTATTACCATCATAGTAATCTGTTAAATTAATCTAATACTAACCAAAACTACGATGTTGGAAAACGGTTAAGCTCCACAGTCCACCTGAGATTAGTCGCCTCAAAGAGTTCCCTTGCAGCTTGTAAACTCTACGATCTTGATTAAATATTTAAGCTTTATCGAGCCACACATAGGTATGGTCTGTTCATAGATATAAGAAAGTGACCAATAGCTTTTGAACGGATTATCCGAGGGTGGTCATTAACATACAATGCAGCAAGATTATTATTAATTAGTAATTAATAATTACCCTAATTAATAATAATAATCTTGTTGCATTGTATGTTAATGATCACCCTTGGATAATCCGTTCAAAAGTAATTGGTCACTTTCTTATACCTATGAACAGACCATACTATCGTTTAGGAGGTTTTGTTAGCGATTATCGGTAGCTCGTGAAGTTAACAATATTTTGGAAAAAAACTTTAGATTTACGAAATTGTTCCAAAGATGACCGCAATAACTATCTCAGAACGCAAGACATATATTTCAATTAACTACTAGCGACAGTGGACGCCTTTACTATCGAACAAATTAAACACAAAATTGAGGAATGAGGATAAAAAATGAAAAAAAAAGGTCTGGGGCTAAACAAAAACATTATAAATAAGCTAAGACTATTATACTGTGTTGCAATTTCCAGGACACGCAGTGTATGTGGCGAAATTCGTAAAACCGCCGGCGCGCAGGCGCCATGGCAAAAAACGGACTAATTCAAATTGGTGGAAAAATGGAAAATGTATAAAATGACAAAAATTGATAACGCGTAATTTCAGATTTACCTGTCGAACCCTATGCAGGCTTTACACTATGAAATCATTTATTTGGTTTATCGATAAATTGGATTAACGCAATAAAATACGTCAGGACTGTCCCGAGTAGTGAAAACATTGATCTCGAAAAAGTGTGCTGTGGTGAATGAAATTTTTCTTTTCTTCAGGGTGTCTGTAAAACTTCGCAACTCCCGATGCTCCGCAGCTCCCAGAGGAAAGCGTCGTTGTAGATCTATACACGTCACCAACAATTTCTGTGACTCTCTGACAACGAGGTCGCAACAGAACATCACCGTTAATGCCATAGACTAAAACAGGAAGATATGTTATTACAGCTTTACTGATTAGATATAGAAATGTTTTGCGAATAACTTGTAATAGTCGATAACAAACAAATTAGAGATAATAGGAGCTTGCCCCAAATACTGGCATTGAGATTATTGCCGACTGCATTCATGGAGATGCAGGTTGGTTAAAAGTAACAAATATTGTGACAAGTATGTGTTAAAAACGTTTTTCTACTCACGTCTACCTAATTACGCACCGATCTAGCGGGAAGCGTCGCTTTCGTTTCCCACGAATCCGAGCCACTTTCGCACCGCACGGGTTTGGGAGCAATCGGATGTTTTCGGAGATATTTCCCACGCTTTGAATTTTGACGTTTGTCAATTCTGACAGTCATGTCAGTGAATGTATTCGTGTTTTGCGAAAATGTACCCAAAAACCAACGGTCGTAGAAAAAGTATAGTATGCAACACGTCCGCTCGTGTCAAATAAACTCGTAAGTCAAATGCCGTTCACCGCACTTATTGCATAATATACTATTTTATGTTAGAATGTTCGTATATGGTCCGATTTTAACATTTTGCTCCGATTCTAAAAATACCCAAAAGATTTGGATACTTTACAATACGTTAACATTTTTTATGTAGAAGCTAATTCATCATATCATAATGTTATAAACAATAAATCTGAAACATTTTCTTATAAATGTTTTTTTACTTCTTAACTCTAAAATAACCAATTATGCACTCAACAGGCGGGTCTAAAGTGTCACTTTATGTCAGCATTATTAAATACTGTCGTGAACCATTTTGGGCGTCTCGGGTATTTTGAATATGGATTTGGGAGCGATCAGATGATCTTGAGGTTTATTAGTTCTGACGGTCACGTCACACGTCACTCAGTGACGTGTATGCAACCAAACTAAAACAATTTCGTGATTGAAAGGGCTTTCATGTAGATATATGCTGCATAACACACTATGTCAGGAGTTGTGTTAGGTTTGAAATTAAGGAAATTTAGGTAATTATCTCACACATGGGGTTTAACAAAGTCTTTTCGACTGAAGCTTTTGTGATGAGAAGATATATAAAAATACATTAATCTATTAAATTTATTTTATTTGTTATTTGGTAATTTATTTAATAAAGTTTTGGTAACCGACAATTGGACTCGTATGATTATTTCTTTTCTTCCTTTCTTATTTTTCAACACAGTTTCAAACAATTTCCAAATAATTTAGATAATTTTCGATTGGTTGAAAGTATATTAACGAAATACTGGGAACAGTTACTGACTGGGACCTCGATTAAGCTGTAACCGTTAAGTATTTTGGTGGTGTATTCTTTGACCTTGAGATTTACTAATCAAATGATGATTTCATCTTAATAACAGCCTGCATAAAGATTTTTATATTTACAGTTAAGAAGGTGTGTCTAGATAATCAAATTAAATTTAGATCTGTCCAATTTTTGGCTCGTGTTTGGATTAACCAATGACGATTTCGTCAATATAACACCCTATCGCATTTCTTGCAAATATATTAAGGACCGAAGAATCGGTTTACGATCGTTAACTTATAATCGAACCACCTGGTAACGTTTAATGCAATTTTGAGTTATTTAATTTTAGTTCTTTACAACAAAGTGCTACTTACCATTAAAAAAATAAATTGTAGTAATATGGAAATATTTCCCAACTTGTCAGCGTTCCTGTATAAATCTATGCACGAGCCCAAAATGCTCGTAACGCATAATATATAATCCACGACTAAATGTTTTCCAAAAAGATTGTTGAATATCGATACCACATCCGCCATAGCAAGAAATAAATCTTGGGCAATTCTCATTCTTCGAATATTCTCGTTAGATTTTTTGGATTGACAGTCTTTGAGTAGTCTACGTACTCCTATCCATTTCACTCGGAGAAAGAGAAGCACCTGTATGGCTAGAAACCATACTATGGAACCCACGTAGAAATATAAATACTGGGGCATCGTAATCCACGTAACTTGTATTCCAGAAACACATGCTGCATTAATGACCAGACTCGAAAGTATGCATATATTTAGACAACTGAATTGAATTAACATCTTATTGCAATACGTTCCGGAATAATCTTCAACTAAATAAAAGCGTAGTAAATTCTCCACACAAGAAATCCTTTGGAAGAATCGTTCCCAAAAAAAATTCTTCGTTTGTCCATCAACCAAGTTGCAACACAAACCCAAGGAGCTGGTAATAATGGGCATGAGTTCTATAAGTGTTATTATTTCGTCCGGTTGGTGGATAAATAATACATACAACTGACCTACCGCCATAAGAAAGCAAAACGATACTGTAACTATAGGTACCACGAAATAATAATTTTTTGTGCTTGGCAAATAGTTATTTTGAAAATCATATATAGGTGCGACACCCCAAAATTTTAAATATTTCGCGATGGGACTTAAATTGTGGACGAACCCGTTACTGTTTATGTGCGACATGCTGCCAAAATGGCGGAATAAAGTGTTATGAATTAATGGACTACTGACAATTACTTAAAAGCACATTAGCGTTATTCGATGAGTGTCAAAATGTAATTAATAACGTTTTTACGGTGGATTTGTGTAAGCATTTGTTTTTCTAATTCCCACCGTAGGTATTTTTCAGTGTGACGAATGAGATCACTCTTATAAAACCCTTGGTTTTGGTTGATATGCGTGCCGTAGATATTTTGGGGCTCATTTTTGAATCGGGTTGAGCTCTCAGCAGAATTAATTTATATTTCATATTTCTTGGCTGATATTTTCGGAATTAAAGTTACTGCACGTTAGTTCCGGCACTTCGAAAAGCAGAAAAGATTAAATCCATGTCAATAAATGTCGATTCGCATACTTTGCGGCCGATTAGTTGTCATAAATTTAGCGGTTTTAGACTAGAGAACATGATGGGGTGATAAATAAACGCATAGGGTAGTGGTA